TTGCTATTGCTATTGCTATTGCTAACTGCTAGGCCCCTCAGCCAGTCCTACCTTGCCAATAGGCATTGGAGTCACTCCCTCATTCTTCCATTAACTACCACCATTATGATATTTCAAATTTCAGCCTTGATTCCAAAGTAGCCAATGGCTGCTTTGGGCCTTACCTCTGGCCAATTGGGTATGGGGCCCAGAGGGAGGCAGGAAAGAGGGTGGTGGCAAGACCCTTCCCATTGTTCCGTGCACCACACAACATATGAGTTTCTGGGACGTGTACTCGAAAGTAGTGGCATGACATGGCCACAGGTTTGCCAAATTTCAATCCCTCAAGGAATCATGGATCCCAGACTTTGGGTGCATTCTGTAAATTAGCTTATTTGAAGTAGATTGATTTAAAAATGGTTGCTCCATGATGTCCAGTTTTGTTGAATTGAAGTTACAAAGTATCAGACAGACCCAAGAGTTTTAGTAATGTATAGATTTATGAACTTTACATTATTCTAAATCAAAATCAATATGTAGATTAACCCACATTAATTTAAACCGAGTATACTATCAGCAGAGAACAGTTTGCTAATCTGTCACACAATTGAATGTGACACAATTCAGTGGGATTTGAGACTAAGATCCTTTAGAGAAGGAGAATGCCCGGCCTTGTTCTGACCTAAGATATTTATTTGCCTCTCTCTTAGATCTTGTTTTGGGGCCTGAGAGATCTGAAACGTGTCAACCTATTTGAGGTTGACCAGCCTCAGGTGATAATTGAATGTGCTGGAAAGAAAGTGGAATCAGAAGTGCTCACAACTTACAAAGGGAACCCCAATTTCAATGAACTTGTTAAATTTGTTAATGTGGTAAGTGATAACTGGGAGGTAGAGCCCAAAAGTTAAGATAATTGTAATACAACTAATCAAGCTAGTCTTGTACAAATATAATTTAGGGAATGTTTTGCCGAGTGTCAGGGCAGTGATCAGGTGCCCAGGCAATTGATTCCCCTGGTTCCAGAAACAATGAACACGCAAACAAATAAAGGGATTTTAAGTCTCAAGATTTTAAAAGCATACATACTAATGATACCCAAATCTCTTGCAAGCTGCTATGGTCATAGACTCCAAGACTTGATTCTTGACGGGGTGACACGTGACTCTGGAATGGGAATCGAAAGTATAAAACTTTCACAGTGAGAAAAGCTTTGAAGCTACAAAATTGCCCCTCCTCTTCAGTAAACACGAGTAAAAAAGCAAGCAGGTTACCGCAGAATGAGCTCTAAACCTCTAGGCTTTTCTCAATAAAAAGGAAAAGATAAAATATATCACTAAACTCTTTAAAATAACAATGGTCTTTCACATTGCCATTACAGGAAGGACAATTATCTTTTTATAGCAGTCACATGCATAGCTTTTTGTTAAATGTTGTTTTCTTCCTTTTATAAACAACAAGAATCCTATACAGCTGAGTTTCAGTGGAAATGGCTGATGGCAATCTACATATTGAATTACTGGTTATCTGATTAAGGAAAAAAACATGTACTTCTGCTATTGTAACACTGGAAATTCAGTGAAACGTCATAATAATTTACTTATCTTAGAAATAGTATGGATTGTTCTGAAATTCATTTGGTTGACTTTTTTTAAAATAGGAACTTCCAGAACAGGTGTACTTACACCCACCTCTCAGTATCTTCGTGGTGGAGAAGAGAGCCTTTGGACGCTCTGTCCTCGTGGGAACTCACATAGTTTCTCATATTATGAAATTTGCTCCTAAAGAAATAGATGAGATGGAAGAGGAAACAGATAATCCTCCCAAGAGTGAGTTTTTAGAGTTTTTAGGACATTATCCAATGAAATGAAATAGAGTATCATGCAGGGGTGTCAAACTCGCAGCCCACGGGCTGGATGTGTCATGCGCTGGCCACCCCATGCCCATTTTAGCAAAGAGGGGGAAAGTTGCAATATGTCATGGGATGATGTGACAACGTGAGTTTGACACTCCTGGAATAATGCATTGGTTTATAAGAGTACAGCATCTGCTTTGTGAATTATCTTTGTCATATAAAGGAATGTCCTGACGGATCACACCTATAATGTATTTGTATTAAATGTGTGGTTAATATATTTTATTTCAGAAAGGAAAGCATCAGATAAACCAAATATCTCCCAAAAGGTGATGAACCTTGGTGCAACTGCTGGAAAGACCGTAATAAATATTGGTGCAGCTGCTGGGCAGACAGTAATAAATATTGGTGCAGCTGCTGGAGACCTAGGAAGCAAAGCTAACCCCCTCAAGCTTGTCAAGGTGAATGCAGCAACGTTTCAGGTTTACTTTAGCAAGAGATTCTGTAATATTGGCTGTATAAATACATAATGGATGTTTTGGGAAAAATATTGATATGATGGCACCAATTAAATGGCAAAGAAGGAAATATAAATGAGAAATGCATGAAAGCAAACAAATAAAAAGGAATCTAAAATATTTTAAGAACCACTTTGGGGCAATGTTTAATACATCACTCTAGAAATCAGGAAACTATGTGTTCTAATTCTGCCTTAGGCATGAATTCAGCTAGGTGACTTCCAAAACACTTCTGAGTGACAGTGATCAGGAACCTCCACCATGCCAGATCCAGGAACAAGTGCAAGTAGCACACAAGCAAAGTTGTGCAAAGGACCTCCAGATTGTAGGGTGAATCCAAGTGAGGCAATGCAACCCCATTTAGATTCAAGGATGGATTTATCTCCTTAGGGCCCCAAATTCACAGCTAATTGTTCTTGGAATGATGGAGCTGAAATCTGTTCTTTCCTATCAAATCCTCAAATCCTCAAGACCTCCAAACTGCTTCACTTGGATGATTGGGGCCATGATCTACAATTAAATGTTATCAGCATGCTAAGATACTGCACCCTATGCCAAACGATCACTCCCCTATCTAAGATCTAATCTATCTAATATACATAAAACTGGAGAGGGTAGAGAGTAGAGTCCTGAGATACATACAAAGCAGGGGTTTGGGGCTAGACCACTTTCTCCCTCCCCCACCTTCCAACCCCTCAATGCTGATCAAGGAGGACTAGGATGGATGCACAATCCCTATTCTGAGCCCACCAGAAATCATTAGCAAGCATAATCAAAATCTCTTAGTATTGTATAATCCTAGTTTGAAAGAGGTCCAGATAATCTACTACTTCCATTCAGGATCCTTAGGAGCTGAAGGTTAACCACTTTCTTAATAACCTTCTTACCTTGACAGTAATGATGAGATAATGCCAGGATTCAGATATTGATATATGGATTTTATGACATAATCTTCTAGCAGTTGTTTGAAGTAATCTTCTAGTGGTTGTTGGAGAGGTTCAACCAGATTCTTCTACATTTCCATATAATGGATGGAATTTTATGACATTTATTTTCAGGCACCACTGAAAAAAATCCCTATTGATAAATTGGTACCAAAAGAGGAAGAATTTGAGGAGGAAAAGCCTGAGAAGGAAGAACTGGATTGGTGGTCCAAGTACTATGAATCATTAAAGGAATTAAATAAACAGGTAATCATGAACCTTACTGTATAATTTATATTGAATTATAATGAGATATGAGACAGAGTTGGATAACCTGTCACTTTTAACTTATTGATTATAAAGTTTAAAGTTGGGATACTAGAAGGTAATGGGGCTGTTTAAATAGTAAAATCTGCTAAAATATGTCTGATTTTGTTAGGTAAACTAGGGGGCAGTGTTCATATTGATTTAATCTAGATTATGAATTTCTTTTTTTTTACCATTCCTTCTGTCTTTGCTTTTCAATGCATTAACTGATTTTCCAAATAGAGGCACTCTCTTACCAATAAACCTAGGATTAGTTCTCAGTGTGACTTAATCATTGTAGAGGACTGCCAGCATTTTTCCAAGCTCTATGAAAACTTTGTCCTGTTACTCATAATAAGAACTCTATAGAACAGGTAAGAAGAAAAGGCTGACACACAAAATAATTTAAAATTAGAGGAAGAGAAAAAAGGAGTGCTGAATATCAGTATTAAATAATCAGTGTTTCAAGCGCAGCATTTATTAATTTCTAGCATTTTACTGTAAAACTCACATTAGAAAACTATAAGGAATCTTCAATATTAGAAACTGTAAGAAATTTATTAAGAGCATAGAATGGTAAGTCTGATTGACATTTGTTATTATAACTCAGTTAAAGGCCATTCTCTTTTGCAGTCTCTTAGTGATGAAGACGAGGATGACGCAAATGATGCAGGTGAGTTAATCATGCTATAGAACGGCATTCCTTAACTCTGTATCTTCCCAATGTGTTAAATTATACTTTCCACCTTCCTAGCATACCCAAAAGGAATTGTATTAGCCCAGCAGACACCAGGGCAGAAGAATACTAGTGACAACATTTCTCCAGATTATTACCCCTTTGAAGTTTCAGTTTCCTTTTGTTGTGATACATTGGCGGCCTGCAGAGCTGACAGCAGAGTCGGACAATGAGGAGGTTGGGGAGGAACATGGGCCAGTCCTGGAGTCTGGAGAAGGCTCAGACGAGGGCTCTGCATCAGAGGCAGAGAGGAGCCCAGTGCCATCTGGGAATTATGTGCTGCCTCTGGAGCCTCCAGAGTCAGATATCAGCAAGGCAGAGGAACGGGTGGAGCCTGTTCCCAGTGCGTGCATGCGCAGAGCTGCCAGAAGGCGAGAACAGTTAAGACAAAAGGGGCGATTCAGGAGTAAGACTTGGATATGATTGGCCCCTCCCATAAGACCTTGGAGATGATTGGCCCCTCCCATAAGA